CTGCTGGTTTCAAACTGCTCACCTTGTGGTTAGCAGGCCAATGCCTCGTCCCTGTAGCACCAGAATCCAGATGGTGCCACGGTTAATCAATTCACTACTAACTGAATTATCAGCCTGTGGAATTCACCTGGTAAGCACTGTGCTCTGTGGAAGAAAGGTGCGGCAGTCTGTTTCCATGAAGATCACAGCCCTGGAAACAATACGGGAAATTCTGCTCCATCTCCTAGGGTTTCTATGAATTGGAATTGATTCAAATGCAAAAGGTCTGTCTGTCTGTTTGTTGTTGTTTTTTAAGTTTGAAACATTTGAGTGTGTCTGTGTGCGTGTGAAATATTTTAGATATGAATTTGTTCCCTTCTTGTGATATCAAGGGTTACACCCTCAATGCTTCTGTATTCATTGATGACACTCAAAAGATTCAGCGTCTTATAAACATGGTTTTCAAGGTCACATCAAATTGGAGTCAATAATTCTTCATTCAGTTTGAAGACCTGGGTACCTTGTCTTGGTAAAGCTAGTACTAAAAATGCCTTCTTGTGGACAGGTAGTTAGAGTACTATACAGAATTCATTTATGACTGTCAAAATTGGGATTATTTGCAAGCCATAGCTGCATACAACCTTGTAGGCTGACACCTCAGTTAACTGTTAAATCACCTGAAAGATTACCTTGTCTTTTTCTTATGTGAATTCAAGAGCATAGCCTATTTAAAATTCTTTCTAAAGAAATCTATTAAGGGTATTATATTTCTTTTTCAGACTTAAAAGAAATCAGCCCAGTATTTTAACATCACATTTTTAAAAACCACCTTAGATTACCCTTTAAAAAGTTAGATTGAAACTTAAAAAATAGAATATGAACTATGTATGAATTTTATCAGATTTCCACAGCTCAGAGAGTTCTTTCACACTTGTTTGGTATCAGGCAAACCATTCTCTGTAAGTAGAGGAGCGTTCAATTAGGCAGAAATTGGTAGGTAAAAGACAGATATCTAGATTTATATTTCACTTGATAGTCTTTACATAGTTGAATGCACAAACTGTTAATATTTTCACATGTTGGTGTTACAGTGTCCAAGAAGAACACAAGAATTCCAGGGCTATGGGCCTCGCTGTATCTTTAAGAACAGTCTGTACCACAGTCCAGTTGTGGGGAAGGAAATTATTTAAGTTTCAGTTTTGGTAATTTTGAAAGACTGATGCTAATAGAGAGAGACTAAATTATAAAATGAAAGAAAACAGCAGACCCAGGAAGGCAATAGCAATAATGACTGCCTCGGATTGGCTCAGACTGCAACACAACTAAATTGGGTGATTTACAACAATTTTAACTACAAGAACATCCGTTTATCAAATGTTTCATGTAACCTACTTTTACTGTTAGGACAGCTTCCCTGAGTTATTTGCTTAGCTTTATCATAATTTGTCCAATTTGGAGATGGTACATTGGAATTTCAGCAATTTTCCAAAGATAGAATGTGAAAGTTCGAAGTCTTGACGTAAACGCCATGATATCCTGGGGTCAGAGACTATGTTCTAAGGCAATTCTATCCCCATTCTATCCCCTGTAACTACTCACCTCGCCCTTGGCTTTGGGTCCTCTTCATCCCATTTTAATGATGTGTAAATACAAGGCTGGGGAATGCCCCGTTTCCCCTTCTAGATCAGATCCCTCACTGCCTCTGAGTTAACTCCGTCTCCTAGCAAACTGCTCCTTTGGGTTTCTGTGACTCGCAGTCTGATTGTTCTCCATCAGAACGGCTGTGGGTTCGAACCACTCAACTTGGATCCCCGCTCAATATGGAGCCCACCCCAGCCCTAGGAGGTGCCACTGGGTAAGAGTGTTCTTGCCCAATCCAATCTCCTTGAGCCTCGCCTTTTTAACACTGTTTTTCCTCAAGACTGTACTCATATTCTTTGGAGTGCACCTTCATGTTTGTGCTTACTAAACCTCTCTCCCATCCACTTGGCCTTGAACCAACTTGAGATCAGGGGTGGAATGTTTAAAGCTGTTGCCGATGTACAATTTAAAAATGTGGAGTTGTAGCTTTAAGGTTTTGTAACCAAAACAAACCCAAAACAAACCCAAAACTAATAACATTGGTTTAAATGTTATTTGGAATGTTATTTTGTAAGGTTTGAATGTATGTGATCAATCAAAATAAGCCGTTGGTGTGTGTTTGAGACAGAGTGGCCTCCGCTGCTTCTGCTCCTTCGTCTTCTTCTGTTTGATGTGTTTCCTCTGTGCAGTTTTATTACATTGCTGTACTCCATCCATGTTCCTCTATACCTTGTCATTTTGCTTCAAATGAACGCATCTTTGGAATACAGAAAAGGACTACATAGAAATAAATGTGTGCAAACAGAAGTAGAAACAGCAAGTGACATGCACAGATTTACTGATAGTCATATCAAGATCTAAAATCACGTGTTTCAGTATTTGATTTATTTTTCTGTTTGCATCTATTATGCACTTTCTACTGTATTGCTCTTCTTTCCTAGTGATTGTGTTTCATTCGTTATTTAATCAGTCATCTATTTGTTTAACAAATACTTGTTGGGCACCTGGTCAACATTCTCTGGGCTGTAGAGATAATTGAGTGGTCCAAAAGAAAAAATGTCTACTTTTGTAGAGTCTTCACGTAGTGGGGGGAGATAGGCATAAGCAAACAAACCAGTGCATGCATGTCAAGTGTTCGGGGATGCTATTTTTTTAAAAAATGAAAGAAAGAAAGAAACATGAGAAAGGCCAGAAAATGATTAGGAAATGATAGATTTAGATGTTATAAGTAGGCCAATCCAAGGAAATATGGAACTTCCACTGGTAATTGTATGATATTTTCATTTCCTATCACAAGTAATGACTTCTGGGTTTATAAAGCAGTGAAACTCAAGCTAGGCTTGGCATTATATGCTGGTTTCTCAAAGACTACCACCATTTCACTGGGGAAATTATTTTATCCTAGTTTTACTTTGTAATTGTGCTTAAATGACTGTTTGAAAAATCAAAAATGGATCATCGTTTTCTTTCTGTATATTTACCCTCAAATGCCCAACTAAATAAAGTGAATAAATGTTTGGAGATACTTGGGGAGTGTGCCTTGCAAGGGTCTTCTCCCTGTCATTAACACTTGATGTGGAATATTAGTTCTTATAGGTAGGCTCATAAGAAAAGCAGTAGTGATGTCAAGAACTAATTGATTGGTTGTAACTGAAGAACCTTTACATTACAGGGCATACAATGCTAAGATGTGTTCAACTTGGTTTTGCTTCTCTTTAAAAGCTCAAAGTCTTCTGCCCAGTCATAATTAAAAACAAACAGCAGTGATTATCTTACTGGGGGCTTCTAATGATCGCAACGTTGCTTCGGTGCATGAATGATTTACAGATCAAAAACAAAGTAATTTGACACTGAACTTAAAAGCTGTCCTACATAATAAGTAGTTTCAGTTCTATAGCACCAGTTTATATGTACTCTGGCCTTTAAAAAATATTTTAAATGTATTCTTTTGCACATATGCATCTTGATAAGTAACTTAAAAAAATGCCTCATGGGGTCTACTTGTCAAACCAAATTGCCAAGTTTGGTTTCTGGGATTAACTCTAAAACATTGTGGGTGATATTCAGTCTGTCAGTCAATATTTATTAAGAAGTTCCTTTAAACTAGGCATTTTTCTGCGTGCTTTGGGAAATAGTAGAAGAAAATGCCAGACTCCGCCCTAAAGAATATCTTATTATGTCATTGGGAAAATGCTCTCTTCCAGCCTTGCCTTAGTTATTTGATCGTCTGTATGGCAATTATTGAACCAAACCCACGGGTTGGATGTTTAACTCACGTTGCACTTTTCCTTTCTGTCCCCATGCTCTTCTCATAAAAAAGCCTAAGTTGAAAAGTCTTCATTATAAATTTTTGTTTCAATTTCTGATTATTTCTTTAGAATGAGTTTCTGTGAGAAGAACAACTATGTCCGATGGCTTGAGCGTCTTCACACTCACTGCCATTGAGTCTGTTCAAATCGCAGCACCCCTCTGTGAAAGAGAAGCCCCGGCAGGTGTCCAAGGCTAGAAATCCGTATGGGAACAGCAAGGTCTCAGCTTTCTTCCCAGGGCAGCTGGTAGAGTCAAGGGGCTGACCTTGGAAGTTGCAGCCAAGCGCCCAACCCTCTCCACCACCCGAGCGAGCTCCTTTATGAACATTTAGACTCTAAATAATTGTACCCCAAATTAGCAAAATAAACAAAGTGGATATTAAAGAGCTTTCCCTTACTCGATCTATGTGTCTGAATTTAAAATAAAGCTCCCTTAAATGTATATCGTTCTTGATCTTTAAAAAAATCATCAGCATTTTTAACAAATGAGAGTTTCTCGTTTTCGAGAATAATTTGTTGGCAATGTGTTTGATACAATTCATGTATGGGTTGTTATATGAACTGTAAGAGCCTCCAATAAAGTGATTAAAAAAAAGTTGAAATCAACTAGTACTGGTTTACATACCAAAGGCGGTCTCCAGGCTACTCCGCTTTCTTCCATTGTCCTGTCTAGGGTGTACTGCATTAGAAACGTGATGGGTTCTGAAAGATGGCATCAGTTAGTTTGAGAAGTTCCTTTGCTGAAAAATGAGCTTTGCAGCAGACAAAGTAAAGTGGAAGAGTTGAATGTTGATGTCAAACAAATGCTAGAAAACAAAGTAGGTCTATATGTTAAGGCTATTGAAGTTTATGAGTACATGTGTAAGCTCTTGAGAAATAAATAGCAAATCATTGTACTTGATGTGGGAGCATTTCACTGAAGTACAAAATTCCTACCTGCACAAGGATGAAAAGGAAAAAAAAATATTGTGGATAGGTTTACAAACTGCAATTTAATAGTGAACTTAATTTATTATCTGTTCTATGTCTGTTACATCTTTATAATAGTGTCTTTGACTTTCTTGGGTTTGATGATCAGGTCTTTGACCTCCTCTCTGTGCTTATCGAGTTTGCTTTTCTATTTGTTTCTAGGACCATGGGCCACAAAACCCGGTATGTCAAAGTCCCACCGGGTCACATCTGGGTTGAAGGCGATCATCATGGACATAGTTTTGACAGTAATTCTTTCGGTCCGGTAAGTCATAATATCAGTGATCCAATTGAATTTCAGAAGTGGGAGTAAAAGCATGATAAGTTTAGGGTAAGATACTTTAGTTTGCCATTTTCCATTTAAATGCCATGTATTGACAACACGAACTGTCAAGATGTATGTTCATGTGTGTTAATGTGTGTGTACATTGCATGTCATTGAAAAGATCTTAGACCTTTAACATATCCCGAAAGATGCTTCCCACTGACTAGCTTGATCTCATTAGGAAGGTCTAGTTTCCCCTCAGGAATATTTTATGCTTTACATTATGAGTTGATGTTTAATAGTGTTTATGTGTAAAGAATCTGTGGATGTCAATTTTTCAAATTAGTGGTTAAAAGTGTCAGTTTTAATGGAAATTATAGAATGGGTAAATAACATTTTGTAAATAATTTATAGCAGAGATACGGGCATTCATAATTACATGCTTATGCACCATAACATATGTGAATAAACTGGTAGTTTGTAAATTGTTTTCACTTTGGATGCAGAGGGAAATTACCTACTTCTGACTTGCTTCATTATAAAAAGTGAAGTCATTATAAGTGAAGAGTCTTCTAGTTCATGGACAGCGAACCTGATATCTTGTTATCTGTAATACATTTGTTAAAAAGCTTGGATCTTTACTGATTACATTTTCATAAAACTGGATGTTTATATTTTTCTAAATTAATGTTGACTACTTCAAGGCATGCTTACCAAAACAAAAAAAAATAGCTACAGTGTGTTTGTCTCAAAGTAAATGTTGCTGGTCTTTACTAAAATATGTCCTGTTGTATTATGAAGTGCTCTCTCTCTAGCCACTACAAGTGCAGGAATCTTTGAGCTACCGCTGGATGAAAGTACAGTAAGAGAACTGAGTTAGCCTAGCGCTATGATTAAGTGGAAGAGAGATCTAGGAGACTACATCTACTACTTCTTTCTAGTTGTAATCAACAAAAACTTTTAGATTCTTCTTTGCCTTTGGGTGGTGACCATTATTTATTCTTAATAGGGCATACTAAAAAATGAGGCAAACAGATTAGAAATATTTAAAAAACAGTATCACAGTGGAAGTGTTATGAAGAAATTTAGTGCAACTTGAAAGTAAAAAAAAGTGACTCAATTCCCTTTCCTTTATTCCTTTATTTCCTTTATTCCCTAGAATAGAGGCTTATTTCTTTTCACCAATAAGACTGAGTCTATAAAAGGTTATTAGTTGAGTACACATTCAAATGTTAATTAGCTTTGGCTCATGTTTTAATTTTTTAAGACAGTGATTCTGAAATGAAGTGTTAGAACACATTGTTCCTATCCTATCAGTTGTGTAGTGTGTGTAAATAACTGCTAAGACTAAACCACTAACCTTTGAGATGTGTTTGCTTCTTCTTTGTTAATAAAGGAGAGGCAGTGCAATGTTATTCTTGCTGAGTTATATCTGATAAGCTTTCTCATGTAGGTGAGAAAATGATTGAGTTGGCAGCCATGACACTGGGATTTGCACATAATCCTCAGTGTATCTTCTCTATGATGCAGCTCTGACCCTGGAGCTAATACCCAACCATGAGCTATCCATGAAAGTGTATCAGCTATGGAAATGTCTCCTGTCACTTACAACTGAAAAAAAGTGAGATCCACATGTCTAGATCCACATGTGTTTATTATAATAAGATACTACAGCATTCAAAACTATGGCACAAATATAGTATATGTAATAATTCATAATGCCAGTTAGTTTGACTCAGGTTTATAAATGAAATCTATTTCCTTATTATTTTCTTGATCAATAATTTGAATCAAAGACACAACCTTACTAATGATTCTTTTCTTCTTTCTTTTTTGGATATAAATATATATCTATATACTGATCAACTTTCATTTCACTTAATGGCACTGAGCTATTAATTTTCAGTCAATTAATGAGTGTTGTTTTTATTTTCTAAAAGCACATGAAGAATCTTTACTAAGATCAGAAAAACACTGTCCACATCAAAATTAACATCTTTTTTGTTCAATGAGCTAGGACATGTATAGTTTTATCTTTGTAACGAACTCTCATGCCTTCTGACCTGATAACATTTGTGACTAAAAAAATTATGTATAGTGAGTTGTAAACACGTTTTCAAAGGAAAGAGGAAAAAGGAAGAAAACAAAACAGAATAAGTAAAACATTCCAAAATTCATACTTAAAGTGAACTTGTGAGATTTGAATGTTGAGAATCCTTAATGCCTTTTGAATAATGGACTGTTATTTGAAGAACATCATGCTTAGCAACACAGAAGGTCGAAGAGGAAATGGATTGATGTAGTGGCAGCACTTATGGGTGCAAACTTGGCACCAGTCGGGAGGCTGACGTGGGGTGGGCCTGTGCTCAGGGTGAATAAAGTTGCCATGAGAGCCAGCTCCAGGGCACTGGATCATATCAACATTATTTGACTTTTGATTTTTGAAAATTTATAGCTCTAAACATTAAAACAATCTTTTGATAGCTGGGCACCATCAGAGGTGTCAGATCAGGTATCAGGCATCATCAGAACAAAAAATCTTATCATAATGAATGAGATGGGGAGTGTGGAGTGGAGACACAAAGCCTATTTGTAGACCACTGGACATCCCCATACAGAAGGGTCTCAGGGAGGAGACGAGCCAGTCAGGGTGCGATGTAACAATGATGAAAAATACAACTTTCCTCTAGTTCCTAAATGCTTCCTCCTCCCCCACTATCATGATCCCAATTCTACCTTACAAATCCGGCTAGACCAGAGGATGTACACTGGTACACATAGGAACTGGAAACACGGGGAATCCAGGGCAGATGATCCCTTCAGGACCATTGGTGTGAGTGGCGATAATGGGAAGGTGGGTTGGAAAGGGGGAACGGATTACAAGAATCTACTACATATAACCTCCTCCCAGGGGACGGACAACAGAAAAGTGGGTGAAGGGAGACATCGGACAGGGCAAGATATGACAAAATAATAATTTATAAATTATCAAGAATTCATGAGGCAGTGGGGAGCAGGGAGGGAGGGGAAAGAGGAGCTGATGCCAGGGACTTACGTGGAGAGCATGAGGGCAATGAATGTGCAAATGTGCTTTACACAATTGATGTGTGTATGGATTGTGATAAGAGTTGTTTGAGACCCTAATAAAACAAGTAAAAAAATTAAAACAATCTTGAATTCCTCTAGACTTGGACATTATTGTTTTTCCCAAGAATTCTCAGTGGAGTTTTTTGACTTTTAATCTGTCTACTTAACGACTTTCTGAAAGGTGTATGAGTTCTAGACTCTCGGGATGGTTGAAAGAGCCTCCTGGGCAGTCAGGGATGCTCTTTCTTTGCCCCAAACACGCAAATCAAAGGTAGTTACAATTGCCTCTGGGGTGCTTATCCTGACAGTGTGGAAATAAATGAAGTCTTACCCTAAAGTTTTCTTCCAAGTAACTTCGGAAGAGCATCCAACTATTTGTGAACCTTCTTCAGCTGTTTAAATAGTCTCTAAGCTTTATCTATAAGTCTGTCTTCAAATAGTAATCATAATAAACTTGACTCTTTCCGTATTTAAGTAGACATTTACTTGCGATTTACTAAATAAGGATTAAATAAAAAAAGTCTTAATGTATTTTTTTTAGTTTAGTTTATTATATCCTGGGCATTTCTTAGGAGGCCCTGGGTGGTGCAGATGGTTGAGCACTTGGCTAGTAACCAAAAGTTTCACTGTTTGAGTCTACCCAGAGGTGCCTCAGAAGGCCTGAAGCCCTACTTTGGAAAGATCACAGCCACTCAAAGCCTTATCAATTTGAGTCCGACTCAGAGTGACTCTTTATAGGGTGTCCAAGGCTGTAACTCTTTTCTTTGTTTATTTTTAAACCATTTGATTGGCGTATAACATATGTGTCCTACATTTCAATAGTTCTGTCATTTTAAGGAGAGTTGTACAAGCATCACCATAGGAATCATGAATGAATCTGTATGGGAACAGATCTCTTCATCTACCTCTCATGGAGCACCTCATGGGTTTCAGCCACTGACTTTGAGGTGTCTATGAATCTAAATCTACTCAAAAGCAATTGGTGATTGTTTCTTTCTTAATGTTTGCAATTGCATTTCCAAGTTGGTCTTTTGAAGCTGTAGGTAGAATGCAGAGGGCACTGAATCGATTTTGAAAGGTGAAGATTGATGATTGAATTAAATATAGCAGTAGCAGGTGATAGCAATAGAATGCATCGACAGATATTAGAATGCATTCTAATATCTATAAGATATTAGATAACTTATAGTCCAACACTTCAAATCCTAATTTTCTGAGGATGACCGCTGGTAGGGTATAGTCTTTTTCAAACATAGATTACATGGTATAAGAAAACTGAATATTAGATGACTTTGCTGATAGGCCTTATCAATAATTTAACTTCTCTGGGTCTGAATTTCCTCATGTATGAAGAGGCAGGCTTCCTTCCTATGTCACTTTTAAATAGTCATTAAGAAACTGAGCTGTTTGTTCACATAAATATATTCATCAAAATTGTAATGACTATGTCAGCATTCTAAAATAAGTACGCATCTAGATAAAGTATGGTTCATTCGGAGTATTAAATGTAATTTAGTTAAGAAAAATGTTTATGAAGAAGGTTAATGATATTTCATGATATTGTTTTAAGTCAACACATTAAAAATGGTATATATAGAATTCTAATAATTATCTTCTATTATTATGACCAAGTTTATTTCTTTTTCATATCTATATTTTTTCCATATTTAAAAAACTTTCCAATATATTTTTATTTTCATTATAATCAGAAAAGTATAATTTAATGAAATAGAATGAAGATGATGGAAAGCAAATGGCTTATAATTTTCCTCTGGTTATAAATTCTAGACATAGGTGTTATGGTGCTTTGGCCTAATGGAGAACATCACAGGTTTGATTGAGTCGGAAGTGTTTCAGTTATGCAAAATCTCGCTATGGAATGTCTATGATACATGTCTTGAATATATTATCAG